TTCTTCCTGGAACGTAAACCCTGTACCATCTGCAGCCTCGTGTTCCTCTCTGCAGTCTTCCTAATATGTTATAGTGGCATTGGCAATTGCTTGCTATGGAGTACAAACTGCGACACTGTAAGATGCGACAATGGCTAAGATCCTGCTGTGTTTACTCTAGACTTTTAGACAATTGTCTCCCATTTGTTTGTTTCCATTGTTCTTACTTCTAGCAGGATGCTTGAGACTAGCTTTTTAAACATTCACAGTTGTTTTATCTACAGTGTGAAGATGACAGATTGTAGATAGCCTTTAATTTTTAGATTTACGATAGTTTAATTTGAAAATTTGAATCGATCTATAACATCGATCGAAATAACAATGTAGTGTCATGTTGAATATTTGCATAATATATATAAGCTTTAAAATATGGAATTCTAAATAAGAATATGATGATATATACAAATTTAATAAAAATTTGTATGTGGATTCTAAGTTCAAAATTATTAACAGGAGTAAAACATGTTTTAAGAAGTGTATAATATGGCTTACGTATTGATATGATAGAAATAATGAAAGATTTTGTAGCTAATGATGTATTTTTCTTATTTTCAGCTTTCTATTTATGTCCATAGTTTTTAATAAAATCCATACAATGTCTTCTATATATTATGATAATAGTATTATAAGAGATTATTTTTCTAAGAAAGATCCAAGACTCTTCCTTACGCAATATTCTTTGAAAAAATACATCAGTATCTACACAAATCTATATTTATTTTGTTAAATTGCTTGCCTTAGGCACAAATGATGAAGTTAGACAAAAATTACATGGGTGTACTTTTGTTCAACATCTTAGTTATGAACAATGCGCTTAAAACGATATGTATGAAACTCATTGAGATTTAAGTCACTATTTGTTAATTAAACCTGAGGTCTTGTATAGGCGAATTATTTATATACGCGGAAAAAAAATAGATATATTAATTGCTTTATATGACTGGCTTCAAAAATAACATAAAAAATGATAAGTGATTGTTATGTAATTAGATTAAAATCAAATAATTTGTCGAATTTGATCTAGTTAGAATAGAACAAAAACTCGCGTAAAACGCATATTTTTCTCATTACTGATTTTATGGTGCCAGAGATAGAAGATATACTTACTTTTATTTATATATTCCAAAAAGAGATTTAAGTGATAAAAGTTCTGTGCTATAAATTATTATTATATCTTACTCACTATCTATAAATATTAGTGTAATATCTATTTCAGTATAAGTAATGTTATCGATGTAAATATTGATAGTCATGATAACCAAAAAATATCGTCAATAGCTTAAAAATTGATCAAAATTGAATTAAAATTTATGTCATCTTTTATATCTATCTTTAAGGCTATTTATATCAAAGTTAATTATGTATATTTTCCTGCGTCTATTATCAAGTTGTATTATAGCATCTTAAAAGAAAGAACTTTGTCCTTTGAAGTGCAATAATTATCTGCTTTAGGAATATTTAGTCAGACTTAAGTATGAATTGACAAGAGTTTGTGATTATACAAAAATGTCTATATTTCTTGTTGTATAAACACAAATATAGAAACATCTGTGATGATTTTAATTGGAAAATCTCGATTTATTGGTCGTAATAAAGTAATTACGATATATAAGTTACCCACAATTATATATATAAAATTAAAACAAATTTCATTTCTAAATTATAACTTTGCTATACCATCATTTTGTAAAGCTTTGCTTCTACATATTATGTAAAGTAGAAGAATAAAATTTGTAAAAGATGATGTAGTTTAAAAAAGTTTCATAATACATTAAAAAATAAACCAATGAAGAAACTTAGCAACTTTGGTTTCTCTCCTGTACTATTTAACACATATAAAGAGAATACATTTAAATAAGATATTACTCGAATTAGGTATCAACAAAACAACAAAACGTTACATATTTTTAGGGAGTTTATTTTTATTTTACATTAAAAAAAAATTATTGTAAAGCTTTTCCACGACCGAAACCACCGCGGAATTCAAGATCGCCGGTACCAGCGCCAACATCGGCTTTTTTGTCACCAGCACCTGGAGGACCAGCTGGACCTCGTCTGTATCCAGCACGATCTTCAGTCGGTCTGGAGCCTTCACTCCTAGTCGCTGCAGGCCTCGGTCTTGTAGTCTCCGATCTTGGCTGTTTCTTCAGGGTGGAAGGTACTATTTCAGGCGGCAGATGTAAATATCCTCGCAAGTATTCAATACCATCATTTGTGAGATACCAATAAAAGTGCCTCCAGGCAAATTGTTCTTTCACATATCCTCTAGATTTTAAAGACTAAAATAAATAAACAAATATGTAAATGATGAAA